CTGAAGCTTTCCAAAAAAACAAACTGCTGCGAGAGGGAAAGTGTTGCACGTGTGCCGCGCCGCGCAGCAAAAAATTGTTTGAAGAGGTTTTTTAAAAAAAAAACAAACAACACCTTAGTAGTCGAAGGATAGGAAATAAACAAAAGTACGGTAGCTATAATAAATGAGTTAATGAGAGGTATTTTGGTCATTATCTTGGTTAAGTCAATTTGATTGAGTATTAATAGGTCAGTGTGAGGGAGTGGGGATCTTGGAGCGTGTTTTGTGAGTATTCACTTTGGGAGAGATCTTGACCTCTGGAATGTCAAGAAAATCTTGTAATTGTTAATGTCATTTAATCAATTCTCAATTCAAATTTTCAGTTAAACCCTTGAGTACAACAATTGCTTATTGAAATCTTGGCATATTGAATCTCAAGAAAACCATGTAATCATTTGTGTCATTCAATCATTTCTTAATTCAATTTTGCAATTAAACCCTAGAGTGCAAGAACTATTCATTAGATCATGGCCTCTTGAATGTCAAGAAAATAATGTAAACGTTTTTGTCATTCAATCAATTATCAATTCACTTTTGCAATTAAACCCTATAATATAAGAATTGTTCATTGAGACTTGACCTCTTGAATGTCAAGAAAATAATGTAATTGTTTATGTCATTTGATCAATTCTCAAATTCACTTTTGCAATTACACCATGGAGTACAACAATTGCTCAATGAGATCTTGACATCTCGAATATCAAGAAATTATTGAGATCCTTTCTATCATACAATGAACTCTCAATTCACTTTTGTAATTAAACCCTATAGTACAACAACTTTTCATTGAGATCTTGACCTCTCAAACGTCAAGAAAATTTTGTAATCGTTCATGTCATTCAATCAATTCAATTTTGCAATTAAACTCTATAGTACAACAATTGTTCATTGAGATTCTGACATCTTGAATGTCAAGAATATATTTAAATTGTTTATGCCATTCAATAAATTCTCGTTTCATTTTTGCTGGTGATTTTAGTATCACCATGTCATTTTAGTATAATGAAATTTATAAATTACCATTGGAGTTCAATTCTTGATTTTATTACAAGTTAGGAGGTGGAAAGTGCACCTGTATAAAACAAGTTTGATCTCAGTTCGACCAAATGGCGGAGGTCAAGTGGGTTACGTCCCCTTGGGGTCCTAGGGGCAGCACCCCCAGCAGGGATCAGAAGAATCCAAATTCTATAAAACCCTAGTATGTGTCTCATATCAGTGGCTTGATTTGATATTGTTCCCTAAAGGATTTTCCCCATAATATGGATTTAGTGATCACACAATCATTCAAGCTGATCCAGATGATTTATCGATTTCACAAACCTTCTTCTCCTCCCAAACCCCAATAGTACAATAACTGTTCATTAAGATCTTGACCTATCGAATGTCAAGAAAGTCTTGTAAGTTTTTCTTTTGATACAATGATACAACAATTAGTTTATTATTAATTATTGCAATTCTACCTCAGTTCTTATCAAATTGATATAAGAGCTATCCTCGTCTTATAAGGTTCCAACACTTGGAGCGGTGTCTTGAGAGGTATGGGCATGACCAACATATCCATGACCACCGATGACTCGGAGTGGTGGCTTATGGCGTGGTGACTTTGACTCGAGAAGAGGTGTTAACTGTGACCAACAGGTACATTGGTCCTTCAAGTGTGGGGTGTTGCTACGATCTCACATTGATCAAATATAAGTTTGGTTGGTGGATTGTAAGTCCAATGTCTCCTCCCCTACAAGTCGTTTTTTTGGGGTAAGTTCTACACTTGTTCTTATGACATACTACCATATGATGGATTCATATCAATTGCTATCACAACTATCTGATTCACCATGAGAAGTCGATCAATTAATAATCGCATGGAAGAAATTGAAGGCACCATTTCCATTTAAATAAATTAAAATCAATTTGATTCAAAACTAGAATCAATCAAAGGAAGTCTCAAAACAAATACATAAAAGTTTGAATCAAATTTTGAAGAAATTGGACGTAATTTGAAGATGATCATGCAACAATTGGCTTAGATGTCCAAGAATAAAGAAGAACATACCATACCTTAATCAAGCTGATCTACATGTGGAAGTGATAATCTTACAAGATCAACACATGACAACCATAATCGCACAAGAACGATAATTATAATAGCATTTGAAAGAGTTGCTTTAAGTTGGTTTCAATAGGAGAATAAAAGAAGATAAATTAGGAGGTGGGAAGAACCGAACGATATGTTACTACTGCAATTTCGTTCTTCACTAGATGTGACATTGTGTAAACAAATTTTAGCTATTAAACAATAATCTTATGTCTTGGATTATAAACGGAATTCCATATCCTTAGCTACACTTTTGAATAATATTCCAAAAAAGATATTTTTAAGCTAATTCTTGAATGGTTTGAAACCTGAAATTATGATAGAAGTTTGTTTATTAGATCCTAATAACTTACAAAAAGCAATGGATATAGCATAAAAAGTGGAAAAAGGAACAAAATAAATTATGGAGGCACAATCTCGTAATCTTTCAACAATCTCAAAAGAAATGCAGATAATTCTAGTGAAGAATGGAAAAGACAATTTCAGAAACTAAGTTCAAAAGAGAATTCAAAAAGCTTACTGACAAGGAATTACAACATAAAGAAAATTGGAGATGTTCTATAAATGTGATGAGAAATACATTTCATGGCATCGTTGTAAGAAAAAAGTGTTTAATATCATACTTGTACAAGAAAACTCACAAACAAAGGCTTATTAAATTGCATAACATGGGATGAAGAAACTGAATTGTCAAATGCTATCAAGAAATATGAAATCACAAGCACATTTGTTGCAATATCATTCGACGATGGCTGAAAACAAAATCCTTTTAATAAAATTTACCATAAGGAAAAGGTTAAAGTTTAGGGGCGGGTATTGTTGCACTTAGTACTTAGTAGTATAAGGATTGGAAATAGATAGAAGTACAATAGCTATAATAAAGGAGTTCATGATGGGTATTTTGGTCAATTTCTTGATTAGGTCAGTTTAACATAGTATTAATAGGAGGTGCGTATGAAGGAGTGGGGGATCGGGGAGCGTACTTTGTGAGTATTCACTGTGGGAGAGATCTTGACCTCTCGAATGTTAAGAATATATTGTAATTGTTTATGCCATTCAACTAGTTCATAATTCAATTTTGCAATTAAACCTTAGAGCACAACAATTGCTCATTGAGATCTTGACCTCTCAAATGTCAAGAAAATTTTGTAATTTTCTTTTGATACAATTATACAATAATTAAACAATCTAGTTCTTATCATAGGTATAGTATAATTTTACCATTTTGTTCGTTCATAATTGCTACATAATATTGGTAATATTTATATTGGTATGTAGAAAGTAATATAATTTTAAGATTACATATACTTATATTGCTACATATATTTAATTTATAATTACGCTTTAGATGTTGTTAGTGTCTCACACATCAATGTCACACGGTCATATATGTCTCTCTTTATATTGGAGTTTCCTCACTTTCCAAAAGGACTCTCGTGTAGGGGTGGCAAATCGAGCCATCATGTCGTTTTTTTGTCTGACACGACACGACACAACAAGGTTTTATGTAACACGAACACGAAACGACACGATGTCATGTTTTTTTAACTAACACGAAAACGAACTGATTAAAAAACGACAAACACGACACGACACGACAAATATAACATAATAAAAAATTAGTTTATTTAATTAATATTTAATCATACATAACACGAAAAACACGACAAACACGAAAAACACGACACATAAATGCTAAATCGTGTCAATTTCGTGTCAAATTTTAAACACGAACACGACACGACACGACATCGTGTTTTTTACACTTAACACGAACACGAATTCAAATTTCAGTTTCGTCCCAATTTCGTTTCGTGTCGTGTATTTTTTTCGTTTCGTGTCAACAATTGTCACCCCTACTCTCGTGGAGAGTAACTAAGGACTCCATATATAGAGAACCATATATGACCATGTCACACTGATGTGAGATACATTAACACTCTCCTCAAAGGGAGGGGTTCAATGAGGATAGACAAAAACATGTTAAGGAATCAGGGTACAAATGACAAAACATGATGAGAATAACACATGTCAGCAAAGCAAAGCCCGACTGGTCGTTGAGGAAGGCGTTCTTGAATCTTGATATTAAGTTGGTGAACCGCCTAATGTCGGGAGAGATCAAAGATTGAGAACAATACATATGGTGGTCGGTTTGACACAAGGCTAAACTTCTCATCATAGTTATCCTCTCTCCATAAGGGGTCTTTTGAAGAGTAAACTAAGGACTCTACATACATCTTTACAAATGCATCATATACCAAATCAAACAACCCATAAGGGTTGGCTCATGTGACATTCATACTGTAGGTATTGTTTTATGAAAATATTTCACAATGTTATATATTATATTATGAAATGAGAATCTTTGTCTCTTGTAATACGAATTTTCAATAGATGAAAGTTTATTTTACTTGTGTTTATTTATTTTTTCTTTTCTATTAAGCTTAGTGTAACATATTCTCAAACCAGACATATTAAATTTATCAATTATGTTCAAAGTAAGGAATAAGTTTATTTTACTTTCATGTCTATACAGGAGGAGCGTCCACAAATATATACTGACGAAAAGAAACTGATATGAAATAAGAAACTTAATTAGTATGAACATCACTAACAAAATTTTAGACAAACAACAATTACTATCTTATTCTTCTGGAGAACCTCTTTGGGAGTAAAAGAGTTTCACTACCAACATCATTAGCAATATTTTAGACAAATTAACAATTACCTTTCAAATATATGTTAGCAACTTTTATTTTCTATCTATTTACCAAGAAAAAAAATGTAAAATAGTACACATTCTCCGTTTTAGAAGGGGGTCAAATGCAATTTTCATACATATAAAGGAGCATTTATAAAACCAGTTACAAGCAGTAGCGAGACCGTTTTAGCTCTCAGACCAGTTCTCGCCTCCATCGGCGACAACAATTCAACGGAAAATCCTCCGATTTCTCTCTCCTCCGTTGAGCCACCGTGCCACTGCCGGAGGGAGAGTTAATCTGTGATATTCTCGGGATATTAGGTATTTATGCGATAATCGAATTATTTTAAATTCGATTAGAGGACCCACCATGATCTTGAACTTTGTTCGCTGGAGTCCCAACATCACAATTCGAGGGAATTTATGAGCACGAGATCTCTTCACTCGATGCATAGGTAACCTCCAAACTCTTAAACCCTGATTTTCTTCCCCAATTATCACTTTCCAATACACTCCGACAAACCCTCGTTTCATGGTCCCTCCATGTCTCCTTCCTTATTAGGGTTCGTTGATTAGTTAAGATACTGTTTTCAGATATCATATTACTGCAAAAATATAATGGGGAGAATTGAAGTTTGAGGTTTTAGCCTTTTAGGTCGAATAAAGTAAATGTTAATTGCAGTTTTTTGTTTTCTTACTCTTTTAGTACTTTTCAATTGTTAAAGCGTTTTTTTATGGAAAAGGATATAATTTGTTTCAGCTTTTAGTTAGTGCTCTTGTTGATTGGTTGAAATTGTCGATCTGGAGTTCTGTGAATGGAGAATGGGCCATGCTCTGAAACTTGCTCTGATGCTGATTCTTCTGTCCATAGGTATGCTTTTATACTTAATCTCCTCATACTTTTATGGATTCTTCTCTGAAGAAGGATACTCATTAAACATACATAGTCTTCCTCTTCCATGAATGAAGCCATCTTCATTTTGATTCATAATTGTTCCAATGATTATCTGATTCTCCCACAGTTCATCCATCTTCCAGCTCATATGACTTCGAGCATTGCAAAAATTCAGTGAAGCAATGGGCATCTTCTTCCCTTCATTCAGACACCAAAGATGGTCATATTCTCAAGGACTTGCTCTTTTTCCTTCATGTCCCAAGAACAGGAGGCCGAACTTATTTCCATTGGTAACTTCTTTCCCTTTCTTCAAGCATTCCATTTTTCTCAAGACTATGAAGTATGAACATTACAGAATCTTTTCTGCCATTACTTTATCTCAACAGCTTCTTAAAGAAACTCTATTCTAGTGCTCTAGAATGCCCTCGATCTTACGACAAATTGCGTTTTAATCCCCAGTAAGTTTCACAATTGCTACACTTATATTTCCTTATTATAATATAATTTTTATTTGTAAATCACTAAATTGTAAACCTTTTTGTATTCTTGTGAAGCAAACCAGGTTGCAGACTATTAGTAACTCATGATGATTATAGCATGATGTCCAAACTTCCAACAGAGAAAACTTCGGTAGTAACAATTTTAAGGAACCCTATTGAGCGTGTTTTCAGTGCTTATGAATTTTCAATAGAAGTAGCTGCTAGGTTTTTAGTGCATCCAAATTTGACCTCAGTATTGAAAATGTCTTCAAGAATACGTTCCAAAAATGGTGGCATAAGCACTCTTGAGATTTGGCCATGGAAGTATCTTGTTCCTTGGATGAGAGAAGATCTATTCACACGGGTATTTATGTCTTTTTAAATAATAAAGCAGATACAGACAATAAGATATTGACTTAATTTGTTATGTAATGAACAGAGAGATGAAAGAAAGAGAAAGGGCCCACATTCTGCTTATGGGAATGATTCATATGATATGGAGGAAATTGTTATGCCATTACATGAATACATACATCACCCTGTAGCTATGGACATTGTTCACAATGGTGCTACATTCCAGGTATAAAATTTTATAAACAATTTGACATTTTTGTCCTTTTTGTTGTTGTGGACTTGTGGTTAACTCTTTTTTTTTTTTGTAAAAAGGTTGCAGGTTTGACAAATAATTCTAATATTCTTGAGGCACATGAACTTCGCCAATGTGTAATAACACATGAGATTCTTGGGAAATATGTGCTTGAAGTTGCAAAGGTAAAATGACAAAAATACCCTTCTAATCTAAAACTAGAAGTTTATCTTTTTAATGTTGTGATTTGTTGCAGAAAAGGTTGGATGATATGCTGTATGTTGGAATCACAGAGGATCATAGAGAATCTGCTACAATGTTTGCAAATGTTGTTGGTGCTCAAGTTATTTCTCAGTTAATGGCATCAACTGTAAATAATAATAATACATCAGGTAAATCTTTCTATTCTTATTTTTTTATGATAACTTTCTACCAATATGTTTATTTTTTAATAAACATTTCTAAAGTTTTTACTTGTTGTGATTCAGAACAGGGTCCTTCAGTTTCTGATTCCAGCAATGATACAACTGATGATCAGGTAATAATAAATAATTGGTAATTGTATACTATGCCTTTTTTTTTTTAATCACTTTTTTTATAAAAAATTTAAAAATAGGCTCAAAAGGTTTGTATATTTTTATAGATGACAGTGGGGAAACTTATGAAAACCTATGAAACCTGCATTTCTTCATTAAGATCATCTCAATCACAAAGGCGTATTGCTTCTTTGAAAAGAATTTCTCCAGCTAATTTCACAAAGGAGGTATGTTTAATGTTGTACATTATTACCCTTAAAGGTTAAAATGGTCTTTTTGTATTATGATTATTTTAATTTCTCACATCTACAGGCACGTAGAAATGTACCTAATACGCTTCTCAAAGAAATTATTTCTTTAAATAGTCTTGATATGGAACTCTACAAGTATGCAAAAGAGATTTTTCAAAAACAGCATCAGATTATGAAATTGCAGGATTCTGTTTCTTCTGTTACACCTGTAAGTTTCACAAATTTTATAAAATTTGAATTTGTTTTAAAAGATCTCATTTGAGATTTTGTTTTTCATGGATAAATTTCAGGAGAAGTGGCATTACATGATGTTTAGCAACATTGATTCTACATGGACAGTTGCTTATTTTCTTGGTTTCATGTTTTTGATTTTCTTGATTTGCTTTTATAAAAGTGCAAAAAGAAGGATATCGAAAGTTAAGGTGTGATTAATATTTTTAACCAAATATCGATGGGATTTTTTTTATGGGTTGATGATTTTTGTGGGATGTGTTATTATTTATTGAGATGAAGTTTGTAATTATGCACACAACTTGTTTATGATTTGAAAACAAAGGTAAGATGTTAAGTTTACACACACTACCAAGTAGAATTTAACGTCATGCATCAAGCCATCAACAATTTAACGTCAATGGGTCAACTTGATCAACTTAAAATAGTTGTCTAATCTAGACTCTACAACACCATAATTATTTCTACTTCTTTGTATATGAAATAAGTTAAATGAAAAAAAGATTTGGATTATCTACCGGATGAGTATGTATACATTCATGCTTACAATTTGATTAGGTGTATTGATGCAATTGTTATTCAAACGGCTTTTTTAATTATTTGGGTTATGTTTGTTATTACAAATCATAATTTTATTAATCCTATGTCAACTCGTTGTCTCATTTTCCTTGGTATATGTTGGCGTATGATGTTTCTTCAAAGTTATTTTGAAGAGAAAGTCTAGGATTATACATTGTTAGTGTATTCTATATTGATGCGATATAGTCCAATAATCTAATAAGTGTCTATATATGTTGGACTCCACATATATCTTACATGGTATCAGAGCCGACGCCTACTGCAACCCTAGTTTGACACATCCATTGTCTATCATCATAGGGTGAATGTTAGTGTATCTCAGAACTGTGACACTCAATGTTGGATTCTTATCTTTTTCCACAAAGGCTCCTGTGAAACATTAGTGGGAATGTTTTGTAATATGTATATAATGTTAGTAACTTATGACTTACGAGGAAGAAATGTATATTATAACTTAGATTTTTTTTTTTTTTTTTTTCTAAAACCCACTGGGTTTTACGTTACAATATAAATGGATAATTAAACTAATTTATGATCATATACTAACACAAACACCAAATCTTGTATATACGAACACCATTATTGCCTTCATGTACATGCATGTAATGCTGATAGTATATTGATTAACTTAGGAAATGAGACAGTGTTAATGGGTAGGACAACTTGAAAGATGGCCTAGGAACTCTAAATTTTTAGGGCCCATTTTTCTATATCTTCTTATTCTTATGTTAATTAGCTTTTGACTAATACATTTTAGTTATAATTCAAATCTCAAAAAAAAAAAAAAAAACACACACACGCAATACATATTATGAATGGATAAATAAATTCAGGGCCGGTCCAAACGTATATGGGGCCCGGGGTGAAAAGAAAAAAAGGGCCCCTTAAATACAAATATAATAAAGATTCAAAAAAATATCATTTATTCTTCACAATAAACGTATTCAATTAGCAATAACAAGCAAAACAAATTATTTATTTTTTGAGCTAGTTTGAGTTTGAACCAACTTTAGGCCCTAAAAATCATTTAGGTAATATTTTTTTTATATATACACCACATAACCCGAAAATTTTGGCCCCTCTGGAGATGTGGTCCCTGGGCGGTCGCCCGGGTTGCCCACCGTATGGACCGGTCCTGAATAAATTGTAACATTCCGATGATGAGGTATTTCCAATTTTAACTATATATATGATGATTAATTTCATTTTAGCCATTGTGTATGAGAAAGGTTGCAAAATGGTCCATAATGACATTTTTGCAATTTTGGCCCGAGGTCACGTACGCTGGGCGTACATAGCGTACACGGGGCGTACGTGCGTGATCATCAAACCCTAATTTTTAGGGTTTGGACCCTTTAAATACAACATTATCTCCCCAAGGCTTATTCTTTCATCAACCTCCAACCCACTTTTACCTTCCAAAGCAAACCCTAAACCATTTAGAGCCTTTTTGAGCTTTGTGTGTGAGTTTTGGTAGCCTTGAAGGAGAAAGGAAGAAGAGAACACCTTGGAGGAGGGTGGACTCTTTAGATCCAGAATATCATCATCTTTTGGCATCATTTTGAGGTATAAAGTCTTGAACTTGGCTTACATTTCCTTAGATTTTGTTAGTCTTGATTCATAGAACATTTTGGTCCCAAGTCTTGACCTTTATGAGTATGGCATGCTCTAGCCCATATAAGTTATCCTTTCAGACATTTTGAGATGTCTAGAAGCATAAAAATGTGATCTTGGCTCTTAGTTCTTCCCCATGCAATGGATTAAAAAGTTAGGGTTTGTTGGTATTAAGCACTTCTAGCCATGCAAATGCATAAAGTTGGAAAATTTATGACTTATAATGTTATTCTGGGCATAGATTTGGTTTTGGACGAAAGTTTTGATGCATTAAGCTCTTATTGAAAAGGGTTGCGGACCAGGAGCGTACGCTGGGCGTACCAAATGGTACGCTGCGCGTACGCGGTCTGTGTCCCGACTCCTCGGTCAAACGGAGTACGCCCCATATACATCTGAGTGCCCCTCGTGTACGAGGCTGGGTCGAATCGGCTGGGTTGACTCAACTGGTTTGTTAAGTTGACCAAATTTGACCAAATGGTATTTTGGGTAACTTGATATTAATTTTAAGTTGGGCAATATTTTGAATAATAGGTGTCGGGCAGAGCCGATTTTCGGAGCAGAGATTTATTCAGCTTTTGTTTGGACTGCGAGATGAGTTTTCCTCACTGTACTCGTGGGTCGAAGACACTAATGCCGACCCACTAGATTATGTATCCTGGTTATAGGATAGTGTTATGGTTATCTGTATTTCCTGGTTCCGTGTTCATGTTTGTTTGTTACATATGTTGACATATTATGGTTGGGTTGAGACGGTCTTGCTTTGTGCTGAAGGCCAAGAGACCTGGGGCGGTCCGTATAGGTTGTAGGCCCTGCGAGGCGGTCCAGTCAGGCCGAATGCCCGTAGAGCGGTCCAAATAGGTTGTAGGCCCTGCGAGGCGGTTCGGTCAGGCTGAAGGCTCATATTTGCATGCTTTGTTTGTTATGTTATGTGATTGTACTTTGGGGGAACTCACTAAGATTTGACTTACAGTTTTAGTTTATTGTTTCAGGTACTTTAGAGGATCGTGGGAAAGCGAAGACCTGATCGTGCACATCTTCCTATTTCCATGATATTGACTTTTAGGACACTCTAATATGATTTACTTTTGAAACAATGGATTTTCTTATAAACAATTATGGATAATGGTTGTTTTTGAAAATTTTAAATTTTTATGAATTTTGGGATGTTACATAAATGTAGAGATTTTCAAGTTTGGTAAAACATTTGTTTGAGAAGGAATTCTCCCACATCATTGCTCAAACAAAAAAGAAAAGGACGAGAAGTCCGTATAAATAAAAAGTGGGAGTTGAGTACAATCCATTTGACTAGTCAATTAATTTAATTGAAATGCTTTTAAATTAAATAGTTTTTTCTTTATTTTTGTCGTTGCAAATACAAAAAAAAAAAAAACAAAAAACAAAAAAAACAAATTAGTTCAAAATTTTATAACCAGTGAGCTAAGTCTTGGTTTTTTATGCTTGCTTGACAAAAAGTCAATTTCGAGCCGGTGAGTTTTGGTTTGTTTAGGTTTGTTTCGTAAAACGAGTCGAACTTGATCCAAGCTTGGGCCTATTGGATTATTCACAAGCTGAGCACGAGTCTCATTTGAAAGGATCGAATCGAGCTTGAGCTTTTATAATTTTAAACGAGCTGAGCTCAAGCTTAGTTAGGCTCGGGATCGACAAGATTCGTTTACACCTCTAGCGGGGAGTCTGCAACATGCTATTGTAATATTTTTTTAATTAATAAAATTTACCGAAGGTTTTGCCCTCCTTCACTAATTTTTTTCATTGTTATGGGCCTTTTCAGGGTCTTGGGGAATGCCCAATTAATCCATATATACATTACAACTTAGAATACAAATCAATGGACTAAGATATAATCACAATTTTACAAGAAATTGGAGGTTAATAGATAAAATGTATGCATTGAATTTGAACCGTGTTAACCAAAATGGGTCTGGAACCGGTTAAACGGGCTTATTTAAAGGCTCGCAGCCCCTTTTCCTCCGTCTCAGCTCTGGAAGTCGACAACTTCTCCCACCTCCGACATTTCTCTTGGCGTCGGCTCCTCCCACCTCTGACCTCCGTATCGTTGCCTCGATCCAGCGCCACTGTCGTCCTACTCACTTCTGCCACTAGTTCTCTGCAGCGCTGTCGGCTTCCTCCAACATTCCTACTGTTTCCTCCACCGACGCTTTCACTGCACCATCGTCTTCCTCATGTAAGGTCGATTTTCTTCAAGCTCTGCTTTTTATGTCCTTCTTGGTTTTAAGTTGTTCATTTCGAGAACTTTGTCGATTATTCCAATTCGTTATAAACAAAATTCTTTGTTTGGTTCACGAGAAATGTTTTTTAGGGGGTTTGATCTGTTGATTTCAACGTCTATGTAGCTTCACTGTAATTGGTAATTTATGAAAAGAAAAAGTGAGCCTGATGTATTAAGGTGAGTTTTTTTTAATAAAGATTGGTTATGAATGATTCATGAAATTAGTACTGTGTGTGTATGTTTGCACAGGAACATTATTTCCATCTTTAGTTTCTTGGTTCTCTCTAGACATTGTACCTAAGAGGGCTTTTTTAACCAATTTATTAACTTGATTTTAAGTTAAGATGATCAACTTTATGAAATTAAACTATTAAACAGTATTGTGAGGTGATTGAATGAATCTGGTCCATATGTCTTCCATAAGCAATCAACAAATCATGATGTTTTGAACGATCTCTGACCAAAAAATGTTAAATATGGTCCATCTGTTTGGCATATTTTGTGCCGGGGAAAATCGAAGCCTATGGAGCAATTGTTAGTCAGTAAATCATGAGATTATTACTTTATTTGACTTTTTGTACAATATACCATCTTAGATGACATGCAGTGTTGTAAACAAAGAAAAAAAAGGTTCGACGTTTTAATAGAAAAAACAATGAAAGTTCAATGTTGTATATTGTTATATTTTGTGTATATAAAGAAAAAAAAAATATCAAAAGTTCGATGTTGTAATAGAATTCCAGTAACATTTCCCATATGAATTTTTTGTTGTGCCAAACATTGAAATTGACTCTCAATAAAAGAGACAATATAAGGGTAATATTGTCATTTTTCATCATTCACCACAATCAGTC